GATACCATCTTTGTATTTCTGAGTGAGGTTGTAGACTGGGAGATGAATAAAGTATCTTTCTTTCTATGGTCTTTCACATGGCAGCGTGGTTTGATTTCTTTCAGTGTACTATATGTTATTCTATCTTTTGATCTAATTCTGTTTTTTTTTCATAATTAGTAGAAATTCATAGCAGGTTCTGGCAATCTTTCGTTAGTCTGAATTTTTTATGATTATTTTTAATAGACAATACTTATTAAGTACATCTTATGTGCCAACACTAATATAAATGCTTTAAATTAACTCATTTAATTTTTATAACAACTCTGTTGAGGGGTACTATAATTATTGCCATTTTATAGATGAAGAAAATGAGCCATAAATTGAACATCTTGCCTAAGAGTACCTAGATAGTTTGTGGTACAGTCAGGATTTGAACCCAGGAAGTCTGTATTTTTGCATATTGCAGGTTTTCATAATTTTTTTTTCTATCTCCATAGGCCGGTTCTCCTTTCCTCCCTCCCTCTTTTCCTTCCTTTTTTACCTTCTTCAATGATGACGTTAAAAACAGGGACTGGCAACTAGATAGCATTCTAAAAAGATTCATTTTTAGCGTTCTGAAGCTTTTTTGAGCTTTAGAATATGGCCTATAAATACATGTGTGGTATATATTCTAGTTCTTTAGGTATTTTAAATAAGTTCCTATATGAAACAAATTGTTCAACTTTCAGAAGAATGAACTTGTTTATATTGCAAATTTATTGAACAGAAGTTAATTTGTTCTTTATAGTTCTTAGTTGTTGGCCTTTGGTGAGCACTGGACAATAATATCCAGCCCCTTTGTCCAAGCCTCCCTAAGCCCCTATCTTAAACTAAGGAATGACTTAATCATCACCAATAATTAGATTCATTAGATTTGCACTGCCCAGTACAGGGGCCACTAGACATGTGGCTATTGAGCACTTGAAATGTGGCTGGTACGGACTGAGATGTGCTCTACAGTATAAAATACACCCTGGTTATTGAAGGCTTCGTATGAAAAAGAATGTAAAATAACTCATTAACACTTTCTTAGTATTTTTTTACATGTTGATAATAGTTTGGATATATTGGATTAAAGAAAACATGATTAAAATCAGTTTTGCCTGTTTCTTCATGCTTTTTAAAATGTGACTACTGTTAATTAAAACTTACATATGCTGTATCCCACAAGTTTTGGTATGATGTATCATTATTTTCATTAGTTTCGATAATTTTT